TAATGTATAGCTATATCAGCAAACCTTTTGTCTTTAACATAACAACAAATTAAAACTATACATATAGCTTAGTGTTGACTTTTTAATGAGAAACTAAAACAAAACACATAACACGATGAACAATGGAATCATTTTTCAATAATCTTTACTGCTATTGTATTTATGAAAAAAAAAAAATAGATTACTTGTATAACACTAATTTATTTTATGTATAAAAATACTTCCATCAATGCTTCATTCTATTCAACAAACTGAACAGAAGCTGATCCTCCTACAGAAACTTTATTGATGTTGTTTGCGATCGTGTTTGTTTGTTTCCCTTCAATGTGTTGCTTCTGCCATCAGTGGAGGGAGTGCAGTGGTCAGTGTGTACTGGTCCATGATGCTCCCGATCCATCCTCTGTATTTACGTAGCTTGGAGTAAAGTGTGGGGTGAGCTGGGTTATCACAGCCAAGACTGAACCACAACAGCCCCTGCAGCTCGCCGCCACACACCATCACTGCTGCTGTCATCCTGGAGAAACAGGACACGACACTATGTTCACAATGTCTGTGGGGAAACTTGTGCAAAGTTAAATTAGGATGCAATGATACTTGACGGAAAACAATAAAAGAGATGGGGGAGGGTGATGGAGGCAACAAGACAAGAAACAGACATCTATCAGCATTAGTGGCTGTGGTTTGTGCTCACCAGGCAGTTCGTCTGTGTTTGCTTGACCAGCGCAGACCATGACAATCCCAGTACAGCCTCGGAGAAAAGTTGTTCAGGCAAGTCAGATCATCCACAACAGGCACAGTTATACACTTCAGATGTGGAGAGGGCTCATCTGTTTAAAGAAAGAAAGATGTAGGTTGTTTCTCTGAGTTATGCAATCCATGTTCTCCAGATCACATTCTCACATGAAAACTAAGTGATGTACATACAATTTATTTTAGTTGACAAACAGCTCTTCCTTGATATCAAGCGGTTTCACAAATTATACGGAGCTTAAAAATGTAACTCTGGTGTAAATAACATTTTCAAGGTCTACTTCTTTTAATTAGTTCTGATCACCAACGAGGCATTTTGTCAGGTAATTAAAAACTGATTAAAAAGGTCACAATTAAAAATGACTATTCATGCTTTGTTAGAGCTGAAATGACCAGAATATGAATGAGCTTCAGAGTGGGTTAACTGTGACTTGCTGATGAGCCCAACATTAACATTATTGGTGATGAAAATGTGAAAAATATCAACACTGCAAGCCTAAATCTCTGCAAAGTCATTTCTTCGGTGAAACAGCTGTTGCTGTTAATTCCTTCATCACAATAAGTGCTTTTGACATTTGTAAAATGTTTATCAGAGACAGGTTTGGGATGTGTTTCGACTAATTTTTCACTGTTGAAGCCAGGGAATAAAAACAAGCTCATGGGGAGACATTTTGACCCATATAACACCTCATATTGGTTTAAACAACGTTTAAACGTTGTTATTTATGCAGCTCCAATTAAACGAGGAGGCACAGCAGGCACAAAGAGCTGCACTATTCAAAAAAGTTTGAGATTACATAAGAAAACACATGAGCTCATGACAAGAAAACCATGAAATCAGTCCAACAAAGAGTTGTTGTTTTTTTCACAGAGACTTTACAAAGATCATGTATAAACTCCAACCTTGAGGTGATGTGTAGCTTTAACCAATGATAAGTGATTGGCGCTGACACACTTATAGTTTAGCTGTCTTTCTAAGAATAAACACATTGAGACTGGGCCAAATTAGAATTTTCTTTACCTAATTTACTCTGCATGTTTGATTTAGGTAAAAAAAAAAATAAAAAAAAAGCAACATCTAGATTTTATGCCACATTGTAGTTTCTTCAAAACACCTGATGTTTATAATCATGTAGAGAAATTGAAACGTGTTGTTTGAGGATTTTCTTAGGAATATTCTGAAGTTACATAAAATTCCTTTGTGATGTCAAACAACAGTGACCTTTAAATCTACTCACAGGAGCCCCAACCACAGATGGAGCAGGTATCTCCAGGTGCTGGGCAGCAAGTGGGCAGAGGAATGGTTTGGACATACTGGTTGAAGTGGGCTGGCTCAGTCACTGTTTGGAGGTGAACGGTGGGGGCTGTGACAGATTACGTGAGTGATGGGAATGTGCTGCTCCGTGCCTTCCTCCATAGTTTTGTCGTGTTCTCAGAGAGAGACCGTTGTCCTGTAGGATCTGCAAAAGACCGAGGAGAGGCTCTTAATTTATCAATGTCAGGGTATAAAATGGTCTATAAATGGCCACCAGTACATCTCCATCAGACGTGAACAGCAAGTTGATTAAGACTGAGATTTTCAGGAATAGTCAACAAGATTGAGATTTTTGCAAATTGGCATGATTGTAAATGAGTCCTTGAGACTCGATGAGACTAACGTGTATAAATAAAAAGGTTGAATGAATGGGTGTTCTAGATAAGTGAGCAAAGGTTAGTCGAACAAGTAATTAAAATAAAAATATGAGTTGGAACACGATGCTAATATTAAATGGAATATCTAACCATTTACACATTAAAATAATGCACACGCCCTAATAAGCTTTTGGGTTGTCAACCTATTTGTTATTATTATTGTTATTATTTAAACAATATTAGGAAAACACATTTTTCCTTACAGCTATTGAAAAAAGACTGGGCATTATAATATATTGACCACTAAAATTCATCCTGCATCCTGTGCTCCAGCATCAACATGTGGCATGGATGATGCAGAAAGAAAAGCTTTGCAGAGAGTGGTGAAGGCTGCACAGAAGACTGTTGGAGTCAGTCTCCCCACCATCACAGACATCTACACTTCTAGAAGAGAGCAACCTGCATCATGAAGGACCCCACTCACCCAGCACACACACTTTTTGTCCCGCTCCCCTCAGGTAGGAGGTTGAGGAGCATTAAGTGTAGAACCACTAGACTGAGGAACAGCTTCTACCCTGAGGCTGTTAGACTCATGAATATCTAACCAGAATAATCACTGTAATGCCACTTTAATTGGTGATATGTGCTGCTGATGATCCATGCTGCTGATTTCATGCTGCTGATTATTTCATGCTGCTGTATTCATTCATATTCATTCGTACCTATCTGCTCACACAGTCTAATGTTCATGTTGCTGTTGTTACGCCATATTTTTTTGCATTAGTGTTAAGCGTATGTCTTAGATCTTTTAGCATACTGTTTGGTGTTCGTTTAGCGTATATCTTAGATCCTTGTTTACTGTTTCTTTTTACACTTTATATTTTTACTATTGTTGGATATAACTGGTACCCTGAGTGCATAATTTTGTTCCACCTCATGTTCCACATGTGGTGAAATGACAATAGCGGACCAGTTGCTCCTCACAGTTCCAGGAACTCATCTTAAGCGCAGAGGTGACAGGGCCTTCTCTGTAGCAGGACCAAGACTTTGGAACGAGTTACCTCTGCTTGTCAGACAGGCCCCCTCCCTCTCGGTTTTCAAGTCCTGTTTAAAAACTCACTACTATTCAGTAGCATTCAACACCAGATGATCTGTGTTTTGATCCTGTATGCTCCACACTGGTTAGTCGTCATTATCTGCATCGTTTTTATGTCTATATTCTGATTTACTTCATTTTGTATATTGCTTTGTGTGTTACCTGTTGTTCTGTTTGTACAGCACTTTGGTTGGCCTTGTCGCTGTTTTAAGTGCTCTATAAATAAAATGGTATGGTATGGTAAACCTACTTGAACTTGAGTTTCTGAAACAGTGTATTTTCCATTGTGTTTTATTACCAGTATCCAACATGAATAGGTTATATGCCACGCACTTCCGTTTTAGCACTTCTGCATTATTTGGCCACATTGATCACTTCCGGTGCGAAGGCACCAGTGGGTTAGCAATGGTGTTTTTCATTCGGTCGCTACAGGACTTGCCGACAATGACTATTAATGATGTTAATAGAATTATTCAGACGTCCTCGAAAGCCCAACGGACAAAGGCTTTAAGCTCTATGTGTCCAATTTCATAAAGGATCTTGAAGGTAAGTTAATTATTTGAGTTAACCAAAATGCCTCCTCATCTACATCTGACATAGCCAACGTTACAATAGTGTTTTGTAAATGTCACCAATCAGCAGCATCAGCTGAAATGAATCTGCTGGTTAAGACAGAACCAGTGAAACAAAATCTGATTCCTCATCAAGCATATAGACATTCTCAGAGAGATATGCACACATACAACATCCTGCAAACACTCATATCTAATACTTTAACAATGCTTGTACTTTGTACTTGTATGTATTATTTAGCAATAGTATTAGCAGTACAGCCTGTTAGACACGCAAGATGTAATTTGTCCCCTGGCTCTAACCTTATGATATTTAAAACTATTTGAAGTCTTTTTAATTCAGCGTCAGAAGCGGGTGCTGTTGTAGATTTATGCATTTATTAAAAATCACAGCACTCTCACATCTGTGCTTATCAAACAAACTTCACATCCTTTGTGTCAGTTTCTTTGCATCTGTGTTTATTTTTCTTTTCATCCATTATTAATTGCAACAGAAGCCTGTGCCCTGTTGCTGCCGCAGCTAATAAAAAGTCCCGCGTCACACTGCAGATTATTACAGACGTAAACACGTGGATCTGTGCTTTAACTGGGAAGAACAAAAACACAGCTCTGACACAAACGAGCAGGAAGAACGTCAAACACGACAGTTAGGTAACATAAATCCTCTTCAGACTTTTTTTTTTTGTATAAAAATTTTATTTCAAGAGGTAACACATGTTTAAATTCCTTCTGTATAATCAATTAAAGGCAAATATGAGCAAACAAAATACCAGTAGATGGTGGTAAACTATAGCGTCATTGGCACAGGTTTGTTTTTTGTCCTTTTTTTTTTTCCAGCTTTTCTTAGTTCTTTGAGGTTTTGAGGTGCATGCAGGGAGGTTTGAGTTCACGTCACTTGATGTAGGCGGCTTTTTAGGAGCAGGTTGAACTGTTAGAAAAGGCAGCTGAGGTCATTTTATACAAGTTTTATTCTATTATTATCTTGCTAGTGGTGAAAAAAGTGATAAAGCTGGTCATGTGCGATGCCGGCGTAGGTGCTCACAACAGTGCTTGTTTCGTCGTAAAGATTCCTGCAAGCAGAAGAAATGGGGGAAAAAAATTGTAGATTATGTCATTTTTATATTGTATTAACAAAGCTTCGTTTACAAGCCCCTACTTTGCTTTCTCATCCAGATTCAGGCCTTTGAGGCTTTCCACGTATCCGCTGACGGTGTTGACGGCGCTGTCGTAGTACGACTTTACGGTTCCTGTGATCTTGGTCAGCGTCCCTTCTTCCTCCTCGGCCTGCCTCGGCACACGGAAGCTCTCAGCACCTGCAGGAAAAGAGGTCAGAGGTCAAAATCATCCCATTTTTACAACAAAGTCAAGTTTGATTTTCCAAATCCCCACCCTTGTCAAGAAACATTGAAAATTTGACTTTAAAAATTGAACTATTTTAACAAAACTTAGTTCTCAAAAGAAAAATTAGTTTTTATTTATCTCCTTTTAGTTACACACTTTTCTGCAAGTGAGTGTGTAACAATGTCGTCTGACTTTAGCTTAAAAAAAAAAAACTAGAAAGCACAACTTTCTCATTTTATTCTCAATGGATAAATAAAACAGTAGTGAGAAATTGTACTTACTGAGTGCAAGAAGTGCAACGAGCACAGTAACAACCAGCAGCTTATTATTCATGGTGCTTTGAATCTGAGGAGCAAAAAGACACTTCAACTTTACAGTTCACGCCACCAGGGTGAGCCATTGTCATAGATTTCACTCACGCCTCAGTCATCTCTGTTAACAGTTCATAAATGACTTTTTATCTCTAAGGGATAAAAACTTTTCATCCTTTCCAATTCAGTTCAACACACTATCTTCACACATAAAAGTTGTTTCTGAGTCATTCTCAAACTTCCACGAAACATTCTCTGCCTACAATATTCTAAAGCAGGGCTATTCAACTAGCGGGCCGGGGGCCAAATCAGGCCCACTGTGAACTCAGTTTGGCCCCTCGATGGGTTCATTTTTAAGTAAAACTAGATTTTAAACCAATAAACAAACTTACTTAATGACAATAACTGCTGGATGTCCGGTCCCTGAGCTCTTGGCTTTCAGTAGCTGTGACCCCCTGAGCAGTTTAGTTGAATAGCCCTGCTCTAAAGCGTTCATTAAATGAGCTCAAAGTGTCAGTACTCACTGTTTTCCCCCTCCAGAACTGACTGAGAACGTAGAGTCGGAGGATCCGCTGACCCCGTCTCTTTATATAGGAGCGTAAATGTGTTGACTTGTTGCTCTCAGAGCCAAAGTGCACTCTGTGGGAGATAAACCTGCACTGTTGTCTGATACAATATGTGTCTGCCGGACGTTAGTTTATGTGGTTATTATATAAAGACAATATGATTTCTTTATTTAATTATTTTCCCGCTATCTCTTTACAACAAATGTAGTAAAATTCAGTTTTTCAGGGGCACAAGCTGAAGCAGCCTGAACGTTCTCCTCTAACACTGTATGCCACGTTTGAATATGCCACAGTTACTCCTGGTCATTGATTAGGTCAGAATGAGGTCTCCCTTATGGAGCTGTGAGTTTCAGCACACCCACTCAGCTCCATAAGAGACACTTGTTTCATGCGGAGCAAAGGTGACGTGTCCATGTCACGCCACTATAGTCCCAAGTCCTGTCAAGATGGTCGATAGTGGGCCGGACACATCACATTGGATGAGTCAGATCATGAGGCCGATTCGATAAATGTAATACTTCCACCTCAGATAAAAACTTGTTACATTTTTCAAAATCATTTCAATGGATTATATAAGTAAAAGAAAATATCTATTTTTACCACTCATTTATGAATAAAAGGATGTTTATTATTGTGAAACAACTTGACAAGGTAAATAATGCTCCAGTTATAAAGCTGCAGGTTGCTGCCACCAGTATTTATTTAAAGGCGTAGGAGTAAAAAGTGAACATTTTTCTAATCATTTGTAAATGAAAGCATCACAAAAGTCTTCTAAATCATTCCTTAATCAGAGTATTTATCTGATTCATGCTATTTGTGAAATAAATTAAATGATAAATGTTAAATAATTTGGGTACCACTTTACAATAAGGCTCCCCTTATAGATGGCTAATAAATAGTTTATAGATATGTTATTAATTCCTCTATAAACACTTTATAAATTATTAATAAATATGTAATATGCATTAATTAAGGGTGACAGAGAGACACAACTGACCAGGCTGTTGCCAAATAGTGAGCCAAATCTGTTCACCTATATTTCATCTAGAACTGTTATATTAAACATTTCAGACTAAGTTACTACCTTGTAAGTACAATAAGCATTTGTAAACCTATTTCTTTAGTATATGCTACAGTATTGTACTTTATCACTGCATTATAAGTATCTACAACTGATGTTATATGCTAAAGAAATAGGTTTACAAATGCTTATTGTGCTTACAAGGTAGTAACTTAGTGTGAAATATTTATTATACCAACATATTTGGCTATTCTTTGGCAATAAACTAGTCGGTTTTGTCTCTGTCACCCTTAATTAACGCACAATAAATATTTATTAATGATTTGTAAAGTGTTTATAGAGGAATTAATAACATAGCTATAAACTATTTATTAGCCATCCATAAGGGGAGACTTATTCTAAAGTGGTACCAGAATTTGAATTCAAGTGCTTAATTTGGTAGTTGGTTTTTTTTTTGGTTTGGTTTTTTTTCTCTTTTGGCCTTGGACTGTTATTTTGTTTAATTGGTGGTAAATATTTTGCATCGAGTTAATAAGTACTAATGTTTTCTGGACGATCTTCTAAATGTTTGTGCTCACTGTTTATTTCTAAAGTCACAGTTCGTGGAATTCTAAGAACAACAAATAAATTAACAGAGTGGAAATAAATGGCAGAGATGAACTCAGCGCACAGAGCAAAAAATAAATAAATAAATAATTATTTTTGTTTTGTAACTGAAACATATTCCATGTCTGTATCACCAAATATCAACGAGGGAACTTTATAAATTATTTGTCCACAAAACAAACCTTTTTGTGCAGCATTTCTTTAATACTAAATATTCAACAAAATACAAGACAGTATGTGTATATTCAGCATTGATAATTCAGTGTACTCTGTATAAAAAAATGCATTTAGAATAAATGATTAAAGTCATATAATATTTGTTAAAAGCAGGAATAAAAATAAAAGAAATAGAATCATGCATCATTAAGATTGTACTGAATGTGAATAATTTACATAAATGTGTTGCATTTGATTAATTTGGTTTATTACATAAGCATAAATGACATGTAATTCAAATAAATATATCCTATTTATTTTGTATAGATAACCTGATTATTATGCAATTCAAACAATATACTTTATGCATTTGAAATAAATACACTTGTTATTATTAATTTACAGTAATTATACTTTATTACTGAATACATAAACCTGAGGATTATGTATTTAAAATAAATAGGTTTTATTACACGAATGGATATGCATCATGTAAGATTTATTAGATAGGTTTGTGTTAAAATTATCAAAAAAAAAAAGTAATGGGAATTTGTCATGTAATAAAATTACATAAATCTTAAAAGTTAGGGTTAAATATTTTTGTGAGTGACTAGAAAGCCTGACTTTTGTCGTTACTTCTTCTTTAATGTCAACATTTTGATGGAGGCCTGAGCAAACATCAGTCCATCATGTGATTTGGCCTCACATGTCATGCTGCTTGTGACCTCAGATCTCAGGTCAGTTTGAGTCCAGCTGCAGGGATCAAAATGTCAGAGAACCTGGGGCTTCATTTCCATGCAGCTGAAGAAGACTGTGCTCTGCAAAATGCAACTCTATACATTCACAGCCAGAATCCTCTGAAGAAATCCAAGACTAAAGGGACAATGTGTTGAAATATTGCAACACAGGCGTTTCTGTTTGTTTAATTGATGGGCAGCAACTGTCCGAGGCAATTGTTTGCCTGAAATGAGGCGAAAAGTCGCAGAAGTTCCACATGCGGTTGCACAATAATTCAACTGGAAACAGAATCACACTCGATTAAAAGGAACTCCATTAACTGGAATTAAAAATATGAATATTTGTTGCGGCATCGACACTCCACTGACTTTATTGTCAAAGTAAAAATGATTAAAATGAATGATCTTTGCATGCAGGGAGACAAATGATGAGACACAAATGTTCCAGGGTGGTCGATCAAAGTTTGACTCAAAATAATAACGTATAAATATAATTATTTATGGTAGTTATTTGTCAAACATGTCTTATCTCTCCTTTTTTTTCATCATTTTGGTCAACTCAGTCTAAACTCATTGAGAGTTTTGGTGCACAATAAACAATTGTTCTTTCTTTGGTAATAAAATAGTTAGCAGAATATTTAAAATTCATTATTCAGTCAAGGCAGAATTACTTGTGTCACAGAGAAGGATCTTGAATATCTTTGGTGTGCTGTTTTTTTAAATAAAGAACGGTTTCAAAAAGTGGACTCTTCAGAATGCTCAAAGAAATTTATAGCTGAACGATTTAAACTCATCCGGACGTACTTGTTTAAATATCTACAGCTGAAAAGCTGCATGGGGAAAAGACAAAACTATAGAAAATCGTTTACAAAAATATCATATGAAAGTCCATTAGAAAGAAAAAAAAAGATTTATCCTAAAAATATTATATCTAAAATGTATTTACTGATAAGCAAACATTGAAGGTATGAACATCGAGCTAATACCATAGCATTTTATTTCTAGATCACTTAAAGTATGACACAGCAGCCAACCAAAGTGCTGTATAAAGAAAAAATTAAAAAACAACAGTAAAAACTATAAGACAACTATTAAAACACATAAATCAAAATATCACAAGTAAAAGAATATAACATTAAGAGACAGATGCTAGCTCACTCGAAGTTAAAAGCCAAAGGGGAAATAAATGTGTTAACTAATGAGGATGAATGGGAAAAACATTTAGGCAAAATTTGCACGATGGGGAAAAAAAAAACAATCCTCACAGATGCACAAACCATTCGCACAAGACATTCGACTAAATCTGTTAAACTGTACTTATTCAACTAAAAAGCTCCAACCCAGTCTCCTTGATGCTGCAGATGTAATAAAGATGATCAGATTTATATCAGATGCTCTGGGACTTGAATAAACTAAGAAGTACTGGGGCTCCTTATTTATACAGCTGGATAAGTTATTCCAGAAACAAATCATGAGTGGCCCAAGTGTTGCTTTGCTTGGTGGACACAGATTTATAAATTTTTTTAGATCATTAGCAGCAGAAGCTAGCTCTATATAGCAATGGCAGCTAAAAAATAATAATAAAAAAAAAAAAGAAAGTATTCTGATGTTATAAACATAGTTCTATTTTTATTGTTGTCTGTCTAAAACAGGTCTCTCTTGAAAATGAGTCCTCGTGACTCAGTCTAACCTTTTCATTTGATGCTATTTCTGTCTTAACGTGATTCTTGACCTGCCATTGTGTATCTGTTCCTCCTTCCTGTTCCTCTCAAACCCAGCCGGTCGAAGCAGATGGCCGGTTGTCCTGAGCCTGGTTCTGCTAAAGGTTTCTTCCTCATGAGGGAGTTTTTCCTTTCCACTGTCGCCTTCATGCTTGCTCAAGATGAGAGTTCTGTAATGAAGTTAAATTCAAAGCAGTCTGCTCCTCAGAAAAATAATGTTAACTTATATATATATATATATATATATATATATATACAGTGCCTTGCGAAAGTATTCGGCCCCCTTGAACTTTTCAACCTTTTGTCACATTTCAGGCTTCAAACATAAAGATATAAAATTTAAATTTTTTGTGAAGAATCAACAACAAGTGGGACACAATCGTGAAGTGGAATGAAACGATATGTTTGGCGTAAAAGCAACACAGCTCATCACCCTGAACACACCATCCCCACTGTCAAACATGGTGGTGGCAGCATCATGGTTTGGGCCTGCTTTTCATCAGCAGGGACAGGGAAGATGGTCAGAATTGATGGGAAGATGGATGGGGTCAAATACAGGACCATTCTGGAAGAAAACCAGTTCGAGTTTGCAAGAGACCTGAGACTGGGACGGAGATTTATATTCCAAGAAGACAATGATCCAAAACATAAAGACAAATCTACAATGGAATGGTTCACAAATAAACGTATCCAGGTGTTGGAATGGCCAAGTCAAAGTCCAGACCTGAATCCAATCGAGAATCTATGGAAAGAGCTGAAGACTGCTGTTCACAAACGCTCTCCATCCAACCTCACTGAGCTCGAGCTGTTTTGCAAAGAAGAATGGGCAAGAATTTCAGTCTCTCCACGTGCAAAACTGATCGAGACATACCCCAAGAGACTTGCAGCTGGAACTGCAGCAAAAGGCGGCGCTACAAAGTATTAATGCAAGGGGGCCGAATAATATTGCACGCCCCACTTTTCAGTTTATTTGTTAAAAAAGTTTGACACATCCAATAAATTTCATTCCACTTCACGATTGTGTCCCACTTGTTGATTCTTCACAAAAAATTAAAATTTATATATCTTTATGTTTGAAGCCTGAAATGTGGCAAAAGGTTGAAAAGTTCAAGGGGGCCGAATACTTTCACAAGGCACTGTATATGAATGTTTCTGTTCAGTTCCCTGAGATGACTTCTGTTGTGACTTGGTGTTATATAAATAAACTTAAGTGAATTTAATTTAATGTGTAAATAAAGGTTGAATGAATGAATGAATGTAAAAACCCATTACCCCCGACACAGCAGCACTGGTGGAATGAGTTCTATTGTACATTCAAAAATATTATGTATTGTGTCAAAGGCAAACCAGAGGTTTTTCTCTTAATCTGGGATATCATCATCAATAGATTATACCAAATATGAAATGTTTTTTATTTTATTTTATTTAGATCATATGACATGAATACAGTAGATATTATATTTTTGTCTGAGACCAGTTGTTTTTCTTCTTATTATTTTTTTTTTTTAGGAAGGAGGGTTTGAATTATAGCTCAACATGTTTCATGGATTTTGTAAATTATGTTGCAAATGCTAAATATTTAATAAAAATAAATATATATATATATATATATATATATATATATATTCAAAGAACTGCTTCAGATCGTTTTCAGTTAACTTTATTGAACACACACTTACATACACGATAACACCCAGACTTGTTAGTGTATCAAACAAATAATACTGTACATGCAGAACATGCATGGATGGGTTTTGCTGTATTTTTACAACTCTGCATGATTTGGCCAAGACTCAGATTTCTAAACAGGTGGAGAATCTTCTTTGCATTGAGTGTTGCTCCTCACAACCTAAACTGACGCAGATTATACGAGCTATTATTTATTACAGGCATTATTTGTAGCCGGTCTTCTTTACTCAGCGGGCATGACTTCATCCAGGAAGATCTTGATGTGGTCGATGGCGCTGCTCAGGCTGTCGCCGACGTGGGGGCGCAGGTAGTGTTCGTACACACCCAGCAGTGAAGTGCGGGCCTTATCCACTAAAGGGCCTGCCTCTGCTCCCAGACCACTGCGACAAAGGATAAATAATTTCAAAACATTCAATATGAAATGGTTCACCTGGCTCAACTACTGCCAAAATAATAGATTTGTGAGGTTTCACAGCACATTAGTCCAAGAAACACATTCAGTTGTCAGAAGACTAAAATAAAACTTCAAGATCATCAATAGAGGTTCTTCAGGTCTCTCTTGTAAATGAGTCCCTGAGTCTCAATGGAATTAACCTGTATGAATAAAGGTTGAATGGAAAATCGATTTGTGTGATTCTCACCTGGCGACCTTGACGACGGCCTGCAGCTCAGGCTTGTCTTGCAGAGACTCAGCGAAAGCCCTGGCGTGCTGTCCGTGCTCGTGCTCGCCCGCAGCAGCCTGCAGCTTGCTGTAAGCATTGATCAGTCTCTTGTAGAAGGTAGCTTTCAGCGAGTCATATTTGTCAACAAGCTCCTTGGACGGTGCAGGAACCTGACACAGGCTCGTAGAGACTGAAACGAAATATTTTCAACTTTAAATTCACAATCTGATTTATTTTTTATTATTAAAGTGAATTGGGTGAAACTAGATCTACTGATTCTCTTCAACGTAAGAAAATATATTCAATGCAAAGTCTCGCCACAGAAACGAATTTGGGTTTGTCTATGAATGGAACATACAACCAAAGAAAAGACAAGTTTTTGTTTAATGGAAGTGTCATTTTGCATGTGAACTAAAGTTATTAAAGTACTGAGTATGCCTGTAATCAAAGATTAAAACATAAATGCATCACAAATTTGCTAAAGTTGGTCAGTTTTGTAACAAATAATATTAATACAAATGTTTCAATCAAGTCTGCTCCCTGACAGATTTGCACATAAAAATAATTTCAAGATAGATTCAAGACAGTTGGAAAATGTTGCCTTACCCTGCAGGACGAGGACCAGAGCCAGGACAAATTTTGCGTTCATCTCTGAAACAACAGAAAAACCAAATGCAGAACTTTTAAAACTCCAGTATGTGTTTTGAGAGTGAGTGAAATCTGCTCGGCAGTGTCTTCGGGAAGATGTTGGCTGAGCGATTACCTGCAGCTGAGCTGGACGTACCGATCCAACAAGTGACAGTACTCTCTGAAAGCGAGTCGTCTGTAAACCAGAGAGCACATCTGGACGAGATGATATAGGGAGGAACTGCAAACAAACGTCACAGGGTGACAGCGCGCACACTCAAACACACACGCTTGCACTCGCACACATTCACCTAAACAAGGTCCAGTGTACAGGATCATACAGTGCACATGTGGAGATAGGGCCCAGTGGTTGGGCAATGGTTTGGAAATGTAACCTTTTTTTTTTTTGCATTTGTATGAAGGGTGCACCAAGAACCCTCCTGATTCTGCAGATGTGGGGTGTTGACACAGTTCCATGCTGCTTCGATGTTGTAACAGTCACATCTTAGATGAAAAAAAGAACATCTTTAAATTAACCCATGTGTCCCTATACTTGCTGCAATAGAAGATAATGTTGATGAGATCAGCACTTTCTAATCAGCGTTTCTTAAGGGGCAGACGGAACAATGTCTACTCAGGAAGATTTGTGTGCTGGAGTTTATCCAGACAACCTCAAGGCTTCACCTTTCTGCCTTGTTGCATGGCACAGACCACATGGAGAGTTACTGAAGAATAAATGATCACCTGCTGCCATGAAAGACAGGTAGTGAGTGTTTGTCAGTTGTTGATTAAAAAAAGGTGGTGGAGCAATTTTAACGAAACTATCAGAAACTAATTGTTAAATCTACAATCCAATAACTTCCTCAGCCGCAGCTAATCAGTCAAAGCAAACATAAGACTGGCTACAGCTCCGTCAACTTTACAGACATCGCACGAAAAATTGGTGTGTTAGTGTCTGAGAGTCATCCCAAACACACACTCTAAGCACTAACATATCATGCACATCTTTGTTAAAACAGGCAGGCGATCTGCAGCACTTCAAGGCATGCTAATTTTAGTTTTTGTAATGTTTTATATGTTCTCACTTTATGTTTTACTTTTGTATCCAAAGCATCAGATTTTAAACAAGGTATATTAATCATGGTTGAGTCACACAAACATTCAACTGTAAAATAGTGACTCTGAACACTTTCAAAGATAAACAAAACTGTCTATTCTTATCATATTCATTCAACCTTTATTTATACAGGTTAGTCCCATTGAGCCTCGAGGACTCATTTACAAGAGAGACCTGTTTTTTCTTTTTTTTTTTTTTTTTTTTTTAGGAGATGTATGAAGGCAACAGACCAAGAAGTGATTTAAAGATGAAAATGTACCAGTGACAGAGTCTGTGGGAAGTTAATGATGACCAGTTAACCAGTGAATATAGGGTTCAATGATGGGTATGGTAGTTACAGCCAGTTATGAATCTTAGCACACTGTGATAGACAGCATCCAACATCTGCAAGGTGTTTGTAGGAGCGTGCTTCCTAGCATTCAGAGTTAGACAGGATCTATTTCTGAAAAAGAAACCCAATTTAACTTTCAGTTTCTTTACTAGGTTTTCCACATGTACGTAGCTTAAAAGAGAGATGCGAGTCGACCAAGATACACAAATATTTGTAGGAATCGACAAACTCAAAAGGGACACCATTTGAGGATAAAATCAGAGTAAGAACTGCTTGGACTGACTTCCTGTTTGAAAAAAGCATCCCTTTGGTTTTGTTAGCGTTTAGGTCAAGTTTGAGACAGAACAAATCTGACTGGAGGATGTTGAAAGCAGATTGCAAAAGCTGGAAAACCTTTGCAACTGTTTGAGCTCAACAATAAACTATTGTCATCAGCATAGAAATGTAAGGATGCATCAGCGATTCTCTGCCCTGTAGGTTGTAAAGAAGGTGGGTCCTAAGACTGAGCTTTGTGGTACACCATTGTTGACTGTTAAATAACTGGAGGAGATACCATTATGTTGAACACATTGCCTCCGATCTGAAAGATAGTTAGAGAACCAACCAATGGTGTGTTCTGAGAAACCAATTTCTGAGAGCTTATGACACAAGATGACATGATCCACATTGTCAAAAGCTTTAGACAGGTCTAAGAAAAGTGCGGCACAATAATCCTTAGCGTCCAATGCTTCAATAATTTAAAGATGAAAATGTACCAGTGAGAGAGTCTACGTGAAGTTAATGATGACCAGTGAATACAGGGCGCAATGGTGGGTACGGTAATTACAGCCAGTTATGAATCTTAATGCACCATGATAGGCAGCATCCAACATCTGCAGGGTGCGTGTAGGAGCGTTCATGTAGATTATGTCACCGTAGTCAATGGGGGGAAGGAAAGTTGCAGTTACAAGGTGTTTCCTAGCGTTCAGAGTTAGACAGGACTATATACTGTAACTGTAAATTAAAACTCTCCCCCAGTATAGACTAAAACAATAAAGACAAGGCGCGGTGACATTCACTGTAGAGGCAAACAGAGGAGTTTTATTGAGTTTAAATCAAAGATAATTTATAATAATTGACCTTTTGAAGCCAGAGAAACAGATTGACAGAAATTGGCATGTTGTATTTTTAAACAAACATCTGAACAGAGCTGCGAACACAGTCAATCAACAAGAATCAAGATGAGAAAAACATGATCTGAAGGTTTTTTTATTTTATTTTATTTTGTTAAAAATTTTAAGGGCAAAGTCCTGTTTGTTTGCATGAAGCAGAAGCAGGTCCTACTTTGACTTCAACTTCTAGGTTCGGATTCAATGTCTACTACATTAACATTATTTGATTTTAAACTGGTCTGTGTTTATTTTTCCGATTAACCAAAACCTAGTGACAAATAAGAATAAATGATCTTAGCAGTGACGGTTCAGAACTGAATCCATGGTGCTCGGACTCTAAGTTGTAAGTTTATCTTCAATCTTGGGGCTTTGATGGCATGTTGTCAATGGTTGTCCATATCTTCTCCCTTAAAGAGCTTCTCACATTAGAGGCCCACTCAGTGTAGCTGTCGGCCACTGGTTGGATGTGGTCTTCATAGTAAGCACCAACAAAGCCAAGCACCGTTTTCCCAGCGGACTGGATTTTAGCGACCGCTTGCCTAAATACAGACAAATACATAAAGCATGAGAGGCACATAAAAATGCATTGAGGACAAAGATTTTTACCAATAAGGAAAAACAAAAAACATTATAACTAATTAAATACTTTGCAAAGAAGGATCACTTCTGTGAATGAGGGGTCATGAAGGGTCTCAGAAGTTGAAAAGAATTACCCAGCTGTCTTTGCAAATTTCTGCGCTATCCCTGTGGACTCTACCTCTTCTGTGGCTGACGTTTGTGCCAAAGCCGGTTCCCAAGCTAAAAAAACAAGCATACGTTTTAGTCCAGTAAACTCAAGCTCAGAAAAATAAAAATATATACATAATAACTATTTGTTTTAAAAGACATACCTTGCAGCAAAACCACGAGAACGAATACAATCTGAAGATGCATCTGTCAAAAAGAGGAGGAAAAAGAACCACTGGTTTGTTACAAATCAAGTATATTCTTTTTTTTTAATGATCTTCATTCTAAATGTCAAAACAGCTAACATATATATATATATATATATATATATGTCTATAAATATATATATATATATATAGTTTTTAATAAGGATTAAAAAAAACATACACAGAACACATACAGATTTAAACATACAATTGAAATAGATGCTTATTAGTGTCACAATAAGCACAATAGAAAATGAGTTTTTACCATGTCCTTTGTCTCTCTTCAACAGAAATTAAATGAGCCAAGTGCTACAGTAGTTGACTGCTTTATTCGTATGTACACGCCAGATGATTATCAACCCTGGGTTTTTTTTTCAGCGCTTCACCTTTTTTTTTGTCATGCCAAACCGCAAGGCAACATCAAAGCAACAAGTCTAAACTTTTCTAAAGTATTGATCAAGTTTCTCCACTCTCTCTATTTTATTTACTCATAAAACATTTTGCAAGTTAAGTTTTAATGGTAGGTTTGAGCTACGTTGGGGTATATTTGCTGAGACAAGTGAAGAAATGTTGCCTTTTCAAACCTGCACATCCTGAACTGTTGAAATGTTTTAGGACCAACATTAGCTGAGTTCAATAACTGTCCAGGCGCCCTTTGGATTAGATAACTCACCTCGGTCCGTGGGTGCTGAAATGTGTACAGACCAGGCAAAGTCTCAGAAAAGAGATACGTGTTTCAGTTAAAAAAAAAATGGGTTCAAATAGATACTTTCAGAACCAAAGTCCATCACTTAGTTGATCTGATCTTGTCAGATAATGGGGTCTTTCCACGCTACTGGACAACGTTGAATTATTCATGAAATCATATTTTTACTATTCAACATCCCAAAGATGTCTTAACTCTTCATAATGAACCAAAATATAAACATTTTTAATATATTTAGATTCACTGTACAGAAACTAATGCAGTATGGCTTATGTTAAAAAAATGAAAAATCACTGTATTCACTGTAATGGGTGAGATGTGGCTTTATCTGTGCTGCTGATTATCCACGCTGCTGATCTTTTGCCTTCATGCTGCTATATTCATACCCATCTGCTCACTACAGACTCATGTCCAGGCTTCTGTTTAATACTGTGTATTATTTTACATTATTATTGATTAGCATATATTTTAGATCCTTGCATACTGTTTCTTTCTAATCTTTATATTTTTGCGATTTTTTTTGGATGTAACTGGGACCTTGAGTACACAATTTTGTTCCACCTCATGTACCACATGTGATGCAAAGGACAATAAAGAACCTTGAACCTTGATATGTTTGCCATAAATCTTTGGAACTTGGAATAAAAATGGCTTTCGATGCTTTAATGTAGTCCTCCTGTGCTTGTTTCCGATGATTTATTGTAGTTTGTCATCAGTTAATTTACAATTTAACACCAAACCCTTTTCAAATTAGTTCAAAACATTAAACTGAACCCATTTGACTCAGTTTCAATAATTCAGGGACTAAAGATACAAAATAATCACATTATAATAAATTATGCAAAAGAGTATGCTCAATCATCCAGGTAAATAAAGCACAACGATGAGATGATGTCATCTGGACCTTTTATTTTAGAAAGAAACGTTTTATCTTTCGTCAAGATTGAACTTTTTTGTGATTTTTTTACCTGGATGACTGAACGTACTTACTCATTTTCTTTTTAAACATTTCATCCAGGTTGTCCTCAGTCTGGTTATGTGAGTAAGCATCCATTTTGCCTTTAACATGTGATTGTTATGCACTAATGATTGTTTTATACTGATGGTCCTCCATTTTGCATGTCTTAAACCAGTTCCTGGTACTTCCACAGCAGACTGGTTTGAAACATGTCAGTAAGGTGCTATTTAACATGACAGATCCGGTTGGCAGGCTCTGACTGGTGAAGGCTTTCAAATGAAATATGAAACTTTTTTCCTAAAAATAAACTGTCCAGATGACATGATTTAACTTTTTTTTGCGATATAGTTAATTATCTTTCAGTAGCTGCAAGGACGTCTCAAACTTTACTCAACGTCTTTATCTCAATGTGAAAGTGAGCTCAAAGAAATGTGCACGGTTGATGTGACAATAATCTGTGACTTTGCACACGGGCCTCCTGCCTCTGCCACTTTGCTCTCTTCATTGAAAAGGATTTCATAGAACTCAAAAGTCTAGTTGATTATTAACGTATAATAAATAGTGACTTAATACCAGGAGTTATGAAACCTGCTGGAGCTCATCCTCTGATGTCGCCGGTTCATCATAAATAACCTGTTCTGTGTTGGACATGTCATCTGCTGATGATTTTATTATGAGAAGCCACATTGTTTTTCAGTCATTTTAAGTTTTATTTTATTGTAAACTGATATTTTGTCAGAGACAATAACTTTCAGAGCTGCTCAGTGCTGCTTAGTGTTCTTCAACAGATAAGGTTACTATAAAACACTTATTTAAAATATTAAACAAATAAATGAGATGATACACACACATATTCCTTTTTTAAATGTGAATGTCCTTCCCTTATTTGCATTTGTGTACATTTTTTTTGTTTTCATCTATTTTATTATTTACACATGAATGTGCCAGTTTCATGTTTTCGAGCCCATCGTGAAAATGAATGTTGCAATTATTGCACGCAAGATTATTTGTTGAAAGAAAAGGCATTGATTGATTTTTTTTAATCCACTTTTTTTTTTTTTTTTGCCTAAGTGGCGGTGTTTTTCATATTTGAGTCTAGACAGGTCACCAGTCCATTGTGTGGATTACCCACTGAGAGGCAACTCATCAGTTGCATGAAAGTCTTTGGACCGGTGGAAAACCAAGATAAGGGTTTTAAAAAAACAAACATGTTTCACAACTTGAAACTCGAGCCAGTGTTTGACCAGGAACCGTTCTGAAAAACAAACACAAAGTTGATTTGACCCTTTAGGTCCCATCACTTGCTTAAACAGATTTGAGCAGACTGTCCTACATCCATTATCTTTACCCGCTTCTTCCTTCCCGGGTCACGGGGGTCACTGGTGCCCATTTCCAGCAGTCTGGTTTGTGTAGCTAAACATTTATAAAAGTTATTGATTTCATACATGTATTTGTTTATTTTGTTGAATACAGATGTTTGAATACTTAGCTACACGTTGTATTTTAATATGAGAAATATAATTAATGTTTTTGCTGCACTTCAGCAAGATCCCACTTTTTAAATACAAACATCAGCTCCATTCAGTCTGGTTCTGTGTGCGATATGTCTCCTGATGTGACATTAAGAAAAAAAAAAAAAAAAAATGCCCTCAAGCATTTTTATCAAACCCATTCAAAGCAATCATGAAAATCATTTAGTTTGTACACAAATCCTTGCTTTATTTGCATAGAGAAATATTGTTAACAGAAATAAAATATACACATTTGATGGTTTTTTTTTTATTGCACCTTTTTTTTTTTTTTACATTTAACTCCGAACAGATTAAAACAAAAATTTCACAAACTGTTTAATCTGGCCAACATGGCCTCTCAGCATGATGAGGTGTGTGGGGGGGGGGGGGGGCAGGTGAGGAGACATGGACCACCTCCTCAGTCTTGGGACAGCTCAGAAAACTTGGTCTTCAGCTTCTGGAAGCTGTCCGTGAACCAGTTGCTGTGGAGGATGGGGACATGGTGTTACACAGAGCCGAGCGTGCAGACAGGAAGTGGGATGGTTCTGAGCTACTTACTGGGTTTTCTGCGCAAATTCGCTGTTCTTTATGGTTTCGATGGTGTCCCGGGCCTTGTCAGCCACGCCCCTGCCGAACTCCGTCATTTTATCCTGGAAGTTGGCGAACGAGTCGTCCTGAGGAGCATCCTGAGCCTCTGCAAGACCGGAATAACAACTTTACAGAAGCCACCAGCAGGAAAACCGTTATTTCTCTCTGTCTCTCCAACCTACCTGTGTAAGCGACAAACGCCAGCATGAGCACGGCAGCTGCAAGGTACAGTCTCATCTTGGCTGTGAACTGCTGAGGAGAAAGGAAAAAGGTTTTTTTTACTGCACTCAAAACTTTCCATTTTGAACTGGACTTTGCTTCACTGTCTGTTTTCGGACTGAAAAAGAAGTCAGCTGTGACGTCAGCACCACAACACTGGACAGCTCCCGTCCATCCTCCAATAAAAAGTCTCATCTTGCTTACAACAAAATCAGATATCTCTTTCTGCTTTATTCAGCTTTTCTGCTGGTCTGTTTGTGTAATAATAAAATGCATACCTGTTTTTATCCGTGTCGGGTGAAAATGGAGTAAAAAAAAAAAAAGCGTCTTGGAGCGTCAGAGTGTGCGCTCCTTTTATACACCAGGATGAGTTTAGGGGGGAGGTTGCGCAAAATGTGAAATTTAGGTCAGCCTGCACGCACATTGGCCTCGAGACGTCCCTGCCCACTTTGTTGATGAGCACGGGCCGACCCACTGCAAAGCAAATCAAATCAGCATGATCATTGATAACGAGAAGCTCGGTTTTATGTGTTTATGTCGCACGCACGGCATCTGCAAGCAATCTCACAGGATTAAAGAGGCAGAAATTAATTTGTTATATGGTCCAATCCCAATTTTGAAAAAAAAAAAAGGTGCAAAATGTGAATAAAATCAGAATGCAGTGATTTGCTAATCTCATAAAACCGTATTTTATTCACACATGGACATAGTAAGTTTTTTATTATTATTATTATTTCAGCTGCTCCATTCTTCAGGAGTCACCACAGAACTCACATGAAACATTTGGCCATTTGTTTTCCACCAGATGCCCTTCCTGACACAACCTGGGCTCGAACTTGCAACCTCAAGAAATAAGATCAATTAAATGTTATAGCAGCATAACAAAACAAAGAACAGAGCTGTGTTTATCACTGTGAAACACCCCCTCCTCTTTTAACAACCGTGAAACATTTAGGAACAAGAGACTAGTTGTGTTTAGAGGAAAATGTTCTTGTCTGGTGTAGAGTTCTAGTTTCTTCTATTTGATGGAGCAAATGTTTTTCCAAAATGTACTTTTCTGCATTGATGGCAGCTTTTTAGATGTGTATCCATATTATAGGTACTAACGCACCCCCATACAATCAAGGAGGCAGACACATGAGCTGTGCACTGATAACAAACTGGGTCCTCTTTAGTGCAGAAGCTGTGGTGCACATGGTTTTCAAACAGTCTAATTGTTATTTGTCTGATCACCAAACACTTTTCCGTATGTCTCAGACCAGTTTAAATTAGCACTGGTCCAGAGAAGACAGTGGCGTTCCTGAATGGACTTCACACATGGCTGCTTTTCTCATATGCATTTATGGATGACACAGCAAATTGTGTTTACAGACAAGATTTGTGGAAGTGTCCCTGAGCCCATGCAGTGATGTCCAGAACAGAATCAGACTGATGATGATGCAGCGCTGCCTGAGGTCCAGACGATCACAGACATCTAATGTTGACTTTTATCCTGGTCCTTTGTGCACATATATGTCTCCAGATTCCTGTCACCTTTAGATGATGTTATGCACTTTAGATAGTTGTTTATTCAAAGTCTTCAGTTGAACATTATTCTAAAATGGTTCCACTTTTTATAGATGTAGTTTGTGGCTGACTGGTGAACTTCTGTCCTTTTTTACTTCCTGTAGATTCAGAACGCTCTTTTGATTCTCCGTCCTCTTGCTGGCTTGGTGCCAGTTAATCTGTTAGCTGCAAAATGCTCTTCCACTGGTTTCTTGAATATACCAATAACTTGAAATGTTTTGCTCTCATACAATTTACAAATATATAATTAAAAAAAAAAAAATTCTTAGTTTAAACGTTTGATATTTCCTGTTTACCATACATTTGCTATTGCAAATAAAATACTAGTTTATAAGATTTGCAAACTATAACATATTTTCTATTTTTCACAACTTTTTCAAAATTTGGGTTGTAGTTTAACATTCTTATAAGCATTCTGTTTACCAATAAACATTCGCTCTCTTGTCTTTGTTGTGTAATTTTTATACCTCTGGTTCATTGCACTGTGTATTTCTACTTATTTAATACAACGCTGAGTCATGAAATTAGCATAAACTCTCCACTGACATGGCCTTTTTAAAAAAAGTGTTTGGGAACAGACAACTACGTGGAGACTGTTCTGGTTTTCAATGTAAAGACCAAGGAGCTGGTGCATGTCGGCTTCAGGAAGAGGTTTCCAACAACGCCTGGAAATATTTGTGTACATGTCTGAACGACTGGCAGACCGACACCTCAGTAGATCAATAACACGTCTGTCCGTCTGTCAGTCAGCAAAAACAGTTTGAGCAGATAAGCAGAAATGTGATGTAGAGGAACATAGTTCATCACTGATAGGATAAGAGATGAGTTGTTAAAAACAGCTCCTTTGGACCTGAAGTGCTGGCAAATAGGTGACTCTGTGTCAAACAGGCTGTGGTTATTGTTGTTGGCTGGTTTTGACTCATAGCCCGCCTTATAGATATGAGACATATTCATAATATACTGCAGCAAATCTGACTGCAAAACTATTCAAAATACTACAGTTTTAATTAAAAATTTATGTTAACACTGATATTTAAAGTCATTTTCTTGATTTTATTACTCCTGGTATTAATGTTCTTTATTATTTTTTTCTATTTTCTTCTAATATTCAGAAAAAAATTATACATTGTTTTTAGATACATTTAAATAGAAAATAAGTATTATTGAGATTTTGATCTTTACATTTACTTTACATTTTGTTTTACATTTTACAAGACATTTTTGGTGCCTTATGTCAGGGGTGTACAAACCTTTTAGGTGGGCCAGAATTGTCTAGAATCTAGACAATAATAATAATTCTAATAACTCATTTAGACTTTAGATGAAAGAACTCGTGAGCAAAAGAAAAAAAAATGAATTTAAGAAAAGAAAACAAATAAAAAATTGTGATTTTATCCTCCCACCCCCCATCCCCCTCATTTTTAAATTCTCAACAACTTGAACAATATTTTGGAGAAAGGCTTAAAGCTTAGTTTAAATTATTGTAGATCCAGAACATTAGGAGTCTCATAAACATCAACCTTTTGTTTATTTATTTATTAAAATAATTTAATTTATTAGATTTTTTAGGGTCTAATATTTGTTTTCTTGTGCTTGGAATGTTCATTTTGTTTATTTTCAGAGACAAACGCCTAAAATGCGTAGCTGTTCTTTACGGGGGTGGAACTCAAACACCCATTTGGACCATGGGGGGCCCAAAACGGTCATCTAAGTTCTGAAAAAGCGTCCAGCTGGCAGTCGCTGTTTGAAGGGACACTGATAACTTTGATCAACTTGTTTGTCAACAATACGACTTTATATTGTTTTAAAAAAATGTCCAATTTCTCCCCATGGATTATTAAATCAACTGAAATTAATTTCTTTGAAAATACATTATATTTAGCCAAGTTTTATGAATTATTATCTAAAATTCTACTTTTTGGTAGATCAGTGAAGGGTTGTTGTAAGATACAGCTAAATATTTGTATTGTACTTACCGGTAATATTGAGAAGATTATTCTAATCTGTTTTACTGTTAAACCTAAGACTTTTAAAAAGTATCACTGTTAAATCTAAACAAGGTCTACGTCTGCATCATCCGTTTAAGCCTGTGTGTCAAGTTATACCATTCTTTAACCGCAGTCGTGGGCCAAACAAAATCACTCCAAGGGCCGCAAATGGCCCTCGCGCCACACTTTGGACACCCCTGCCTTATGTGTTCTGTTTTAGGAACAAAATCAAACAACTAAAAATACATGTTTTTCTGTGTGTCTGTGTGTGTTTTTCCATTTGTTCTGCTTTCCTCAAAATAAATTCTTACTTCTAAGGTCGGCTTGCAAACTGACCTTTTCCTAAAAAGGAAATGACACAGACAACGCCACGTGTCCCAGTCTGCCAGATATCATGTGACTCAAAACAAGAACAGTTGATGTACTGCAGTAACCCTTCATTTAAACTGGAAAACATAAGTAAAAAAAATGTGTTTTGATTTACAATTCAATGCCCTTATCCCTGCATAAAATCTTTTTTATTTTATTTTACTGTCATCAACAACAAAAGATCGTTTATTGCAGAAGATTTGATTATAGAAGTTAGTACTGTTGGGATAAATACACTCCACCTGAGCACCCAGTATCCAAATGATCCCTGAATGACTAAAGCTCCATTTCCTTTGTCAGGAAATGGCCTGCGGATTTTATACGTAAGCCTGGACGTGCGTGCAAACAAGCTCTTTTTGAACAGTTGCATAACAAACCAGGTATGAAAGTGCCAATCAGACGTCCTCCTAATGTTCAGTAACGAGCACCCCCCAAAAAAAGTTGTTTTTGTGTTTGAGCAAGGCCCCTGCAGTGTGTGCCAGCTCTGGAAAACACGGAAAGAATGAAGTGGACATAGCTTTGAAAAGGAGGCTGAAAAAAGTCCCCTGCAGGGATGTTTTTAAAGGGGTTACTTGCAGTCACGGGCGAGCTAGCACCTGCTAATTTTTGTCTGTTGTTGTTGTTGGGCAGTTCTCAAAGTGCAGACACCGTATAGGAACAGACGGAGCAGAAGTGCTGAAGCAGCAGGACGCTGCTGCTTTTCCTGTTTGTGCCCGTCGTGAGTAATCCTTCAACACAACTGGCTGTGAGGAGTTTCACTCGTCAGTCAGAAAATAAACACATTCCTATAAAGGATGGATTTTATGGGGGATAGAGAGCTGGTAAACAGTTAGTCATCATTTCGGTTTGCGCAGAGCACCCTTTAACACAGACAGATGTGGTAAACATGTTTTGTCATCAACCATGTGGGTATCTCTGAAGAGCGTAGATAAACTGACACAAAAACAACCGCAACTTCCACTTTCTTAAAGAAAATCCTAAATTGTGGGTTTGATTATCGAACTACAGTTTTCAGTTGCGTAAAACTGATACTTTTTTTTAAAGAAATTATCGCCTGCCAGCAAAAAGGTGATGCATTTTTGTTTTCCTTTAAAACTCTAAGAAATCAGGATGTACGTCTAAAGCTGATTAACTTTTACCACAACAACTAATCAATGTAAGTCAACACAAAAACAACAAAAACATTTTTTTTTAATTATTATTATTGTTGAGTGTGGCAGTAGCTGAGAGTCACCCATAACTTCATTTAAGTGATAATAGATCATGTTCTGGCATGAAAGATCATGAGTCGTATGCATTTCTGCAAAGATTGATAGGCCTTCAGTTAATGATTGAATCATCCTGACTTCTTTCAAATAGCTTTTATGCTTCTTTTTTCAACAATAATTCACATTGCATCCATCTTAATTCTTACAATAAAGAGTAAACTATAAAAATATGTTGCTTTATTTGAACTCTGCTGCTTAAGTGATTCTTCGATCATACGATGTGCGTTCTCTTCCTCAAGCCCAGTTTGTTTGTCTTGTTTTGCAAGACCTATAGAGCCCGCCTGGCCTGCCAATAAAGAAAACACAGCTGCAGTGGTGCGTGCAGCCTGGATGTGAGTGGAAAGGTCGGAGGATGCAAATTGTACAAAGACGGGGGCAAACAGTGTCCTCTGCTGGCCTCTGCTCCGGGCAACAAAGAACTAATCCTGCTGCATATAATGGACGTGACAAAAGTTTCAAACACAGCTGGAAAAAACTTTTCAATTGTGCCACTTGCTTTTACCAACAAGTAAAATGCCAACCAGATTATGGTATGAATACAGGAAGTTGTGTTTTTCTTTACATTTGTTTTTCAATGAGATGTAATTTTATAAAAAAGATGCAGGGAGAATGTTATTTAAAGTGCATAAATTGGCCTCATGCCAGAAACAAAGCAACATACACAAGATCACGAACTACAGACTCATTTGTAACTTTTTTTATTATTCGTGGAATGTTTTTTTTTTTTTTTTCAAATAAGTATGGCTTCTTCATCATCGTGCAAGTGTAGAGAAAGGTTGAACTACTACGTCGCTGGAAACTTTATGGCAAAAAAAAAAAAAAATAGTGATTGTGGCACAAAATGTTCCCAAACGTACCAAACGCCTGCTGGGATGAAGAGAAAATAAATCTGGAAGCCGATCTAAACAAGCCCGGACAAAAAAAACTGTCAGACTGAGGGATGTGGGGGAGGCTGTTTGCATAAAAAACTGTGGATGGCGTGGAGTACAAACACAAAGAGGGACTAAAAGCTTAGTTTTGTGCTTTCAGTTGAAGATTTGGTGTTAAAGCTCTCTCAATTCTTCTTCTCCACTCATGCAGCTGACTTCTTGTAATAGAGCACAATGAAGAAAGGTCAACAGTTTCACGCTTTAATTCAATTCAATTCAATTCAATTCAGTTTATTTCTATAGCGCCAAGTCACAACAGAAGTCATCTCAGGGCACTGAACAGAAATATTCATATATAAAAATAATTTAACATTATTTATCTGAGCAGCAGACCAGACTGCTTTGAGTTTAACTTCAATGCAGACTCTCATCTTGAGCAAGCATGAAGGCGACAGTGGAAAGAAAAAATTCCCTTATGAGGAAGAAACCTTTAGCAGAACCAGGCTCAGGACAAGAGGCCATCTGCTTTGACCGGCTGGGTTTGAGAGGAACAGATACACAATGGCAGGTCAAGAATCACATGTTAAGATAGAAATAATATCAAATGAAAACTATTCAATTTTAACAATTAATTTAAGGAAATTGGGTCAATTTGTCCTCCAACAGTCTAAGCTAAAGACAGCATAAAAAGTCAACCCTAACTATAGGATTTATCAAAAAGGAAAGTCTTAACCCCAGTCTTTAAACTGGACAACGTGTCAGTCGTACGGACAGAAACTGGAAGTTGGTTCCACAAGAAAGGATCCTGATAATTGAAAGATCTTCCTCCCATTCTGCTTTTGGAAACTCAAGGGACCACGAGTAAACATGCAGTTTGAGAGCAAAATGCTCTGTTAGGAAAGTATGGAACAATAAGATCTCAAATATAAGATGGAGCTAGGTTGTTGAGAGCTTTGTAGGTTAGAAGTAAGATTTTGAATTAAATTCTGGACTTGACAGGGAGCCAATGGAGAGAAACTAAAACTGGAGAGATATGAGAGTGGTGAAGGCTGCACAGAAGTCTGTTGGAGTCATCCTCCCCACCACCACAGACATTTATACCTCTAGATGCAGGAAGAGGGCCACATGCATCATGAAGGACCCCACTCACCCAGCACAAACACTTTTTGCCCGCTCCCCTCGGGAAGGAGGTTGAGGAGCATTAAGTGTAGAACCACTAGACTGAGGAACAGCTTCTACCCTGAGGCTGTTAGACTCATGAATCTCTAACCAGATAAATCACTGTGAAAAACCACATCATGTTGCTGCTGATCTGTTTCATGTTGCTACTGATCTGTTTCATGTTGCTGCTGATCTGTTTCATGTTGCTGTGTTCATCCATGCTCATCTGCTCACACAGACTCATGTTCGTGCTGCTGTTCAGCGCATTGTTTTTATGCTATTAGTGTTTAGCATATGTTTAGTTGATGTTTTTCTTAGTTCATATCTTAGATCTTATTACTGTTTTTCTTTTACATTTTATTGTTGATGTAACTGGGACCCTGTGTACATAATGTCGTTCCACCACATGTACCACAACTCTGACTCTGACTCTGGTATGATCTCTCCTACTAACTCCAGTTCAGACTCTGGCAGCAGCATTTTGGATCAACTGAAGACTTTTTAAAGAAGTATTTGGACACCCAGATAAACCGTTGCAATAGTCCAGTCTAGACGTGACAAATACATGAACCAGTTTTTCTGCATCACTTTTAGAAAAGATGTTTCTAATGTTAGTGATATTACGCAGGTGGAAGAAGGCAGTTTAAGTAACGTTTTTAATGTGGGGGATAAAAGACAAGTCCTGATAAAAAAAAAAACACCAAGATTTTTAACATTAGAGCTGGAGGACAGATTAATGCCATCCAAGGAGGGTGAAAGACTGAAAAATGTATCCCTAAGAGGTTCAGATCCAAAAACTAAAACCTCAGTCTTGTCTGTGTTCAAAAGCAGAAAAATTTGGGTCATCCAGGTTTTTATGTCTTTAAGAAGTTGATGATTGGATTCATAGTATCTCTAGTTAAATCATTTGAGATGAATTCTAAGGAAACAGGCTTGCCATCATTTAAAAGCCCTGCACTGATTGCATTAAAACTAATGCAATCAGTTTGAACCAATCAAACTTGAATAGTTCCAAAAAAGATTCCCAGTTTGATCGTCTCGGCTTATCTAGTGAAAACAAACGAAACTACACTAGTCGTTATCTACATGAGGTACAACAGTGACGTGGGTCTGTGAAGTTAACTCTAACTGGACTTTGTTTTAAATAAATGAGCTTTCTGAAATGTGTAAGGAGAAACACAAGCTGGAGAAACGAAGCCTTTTTTAAATTTTCTTTATTCACGCAGCACTGATCAGCACAAACGCAGAAACAGGCGGTGTTCACTCGCAGACAGCAGCATGGTGGGGGCGCACAGCACATGAAACCTTCAGATCACTTCCGGCGAACACACAAGAGCGTTGCACTCTTCACTCACAGGCTTTCACCGTTCGTGCCCCAGGAGTACAACGCTAATGTTGAGACGAGACTGAAGCAGTTCAGTCTCACTTGCGAAACTCGTGGACGCGTTGTTGGATACGATCGCAGCATCGCTCAGTGCAAGGATTGGACTAAACCACAGCTGCATTCAAACCCAGCAGCGGAATGTAGAAAACGTCAAACACAAAATGTTTTAGGGTAAAAACGTGGGATTGTTTAATTCAAAGTAGAAAAAGCAAAGCAATTTAAAGAGTATGAGATCACACGCTGCTGCTTGTTTAGTGATCAAGAAAGTTGGCGAGGGACACCCCCCACCCGTGTATCCTGAACGCTAAAGCCTAAAAAAAGTACAGCAGCTGTTGTTATGATACAAACAAATAACTGATTCTCATTTCTTTTGCTTTTATCATCCTTAAAAAAAAGCATTAAAGTCTTTCTTTAAGCAGTGGCCGTCTCCTTGACTTTGTCCAGGATGGTCTCGAACTGCTCGCGGAACTGGGTGGCGTAAGGAGAGAGCACCTTCGTGAGCTCCTCCAGCTTGCCGTCCATGGACGTGCTCAGCTCCTGCAAGGTGCTCTCCAGCTGGGTCTTGAAGTTCTCAGCCTGGGTCTCCAGCCTTACGGAGATGTCTCTCAGCTTCTGGCTGGCATCATCACTGGCCTGATGGACGTACGGCTCAACGTTTTCCTTCACGGTCCCCAGGTTGTGGGTGGCGCGGGACTGCACCTCCCCCAGGTAAGTGGCAGCAGTTCTTGAGGAACAACAAACAAACAGAAAAGGAAAAACAGTTAGGTTTCGTATCATAAAAATGAGGAATTAAAAGGTAAGCGAAAGCACCGCAGCCCAACTCACTCTCGGATCTCTTCCGTGTCTTTGGCCAGGCGCTTCCTCAGCTTGGTGGTGTAGGTGGTGATGCGGCTGCGGACGTCATCCAAATTCTGATCCACCATGCTCTTCAGCTCGTTCAGGTACTCGCTGCTGCGCACCTTGGCGTCAGTCATGTCTGTCTGCAGTTTGCTGGCCAGAAGCTGCAGGTCCTCAGACATCTGGTTTGTGGAGGCGACAGCGTGAGGTGCCAGCTTGGTCTGGATATCATCTTTGTACGCCGTCAGCTCTGCCATGGCGTTGGTGATCAGGGTACTAGAAGTATCACAAGCAACATCAAAATGTTGCGCAGGACGACAATGCACAGGAGAAAAGGAGACGTCTCCACAGGACAACTCAACAAATTCAACAAACGAGCACTTACTCCAGCTCCTGGTTGAGCTGAGGGACTCTGAGCTCAGCTTTCTGGTTGAGCTCAGCGATGTACTGCCAGAAGCGATCCACGCTTTCCTCCAAGCGGATCAGGCTGGCATCAGCCTGCTGCGCCGGACGGGCATTGCAGCCTTAAAAGAGCACAAACGGGTGATTATTAAAACTAGAACACTGATTATGATGTTGGTGAAACAAGAACACATGTGACGTTTCCATGTGGTAAACAGCACAGAGCGTACCGGTGATGACTGCCAGAGCAAGGATGAGAGCTGCAGCCTTCATGGTTGGTTGACAAATTCACCTGTGAAATACATTAGAGACTCTGCATTTTCATAAAATGATACAGCAGCTGAGATGTTAAGAAAGATTAAAATAAATACATAAATTTAGCAGAGCTGATGTTAGGAGAGAACATGTTTCTGTTTGTCTCACCTGAGAGGTTGAGCTTCCTCGGTGCTCCCGGGTCGGTGGCTGAGGCTTTTTATAGCCCCAGAGGCTGCGGCTCGACAAGCGGGGCGGGGGGGGGGGGGGGGGGGGGGGGGGTTGCTCACTCACGCGCGCGCGCGTTCACGAGGTCACGGTGATTTGTCTGCACGCAACGTGTCAAAACACGCCGCGTCCGAAGCCTCGGAGGGAGAGAAGCACAGAGAAGTTTCACTTCTGATGATTAATGGCTCCTCTGTCAACAAGGAACATTTCAGAAAGTAGGTTTGATTATTTATCGTCATGAAAGTGTATTAAAACAGAGCATTGTGGATTCAGTTGATGTAATCAGACACCCTGTCCCCATTCAAACACACCTGCAGTTTTACACAGTTCAACTAATTAATTTATTGTACTTTAAAAAAAATATCATAAAAACACCAATTTTGGTTTGTATAAATGTTTGCATTGCAAAGCAAGGTTTTTTTTTTTTTTTTACATTCTTAAATATAATAGTTTAAATAATTTAAACATAGTTTAAGCTAATTGCATTGCATTTAATTTACTTTGTATTTAATATCCCAGAAATGGTGTAAGAATGAAGTGATTTGCTGTTATTGAATTTCAAGCATCTGTGTCAGTACTTGTTTATTTCTGTCATTTAACTTGCGTCATATTTACAAGTTTTTAATCAGCCATCACTGAAAGGCAAAGATGATGTGTTTTTTGCTTGTGTGTGTCTGCCTGTTATCAAAATATCTCAAGGACAAATGGAAAATTTTTAATAAAACTTGCAGAAAATAATCATTAAATTGGCCACAAACCCTCCTGTTGTGTTCATTTCTGAGGAGCAGCTATGATGTTTTTGGGTCAGTTTGACCCGCGAGGAATGTTTAATCGAAATACAAAAATGCATTTACTGTAACTCACGTTCATTTTACGAGTATTGAACTAAAATCATATTTTCATTGCCAACATATTGCATGAGAGCTCTGTTCACCTACAGAATTAAGTCATCTCTGACTGTCAGTGAAGCATCTCTTCAATCACTAGATGAATTTTAATGAAAGTTTCAGGGAATAATAATCATGTGTACCTCTACAACGGATTCAGTTTTAAATACAACCTGATTGAAGATAGCGCCCATAGCCAACTGACCTTAAAAACACAAAAATGGCTATAATTCAATTAATTCTACATCTATTGTACAAATATATAATGTGGTTTTGACTGATACTCATCCACAACGCACACTTTCATCAATTTGTCTGTTACTAAACTATCCTAACCTCTGTCGGAATCACTGGATGGCTCTTAATGACATTTCAAAAAGCAATAATTGCATATATCCACAACTAATTAGTGTTTGGAGTCGATCCAATTCAAGATGGCTGCCACAGCTTATTGACATTAGCCAACACACAAAACAATGACTATAGCAGTCATTTATACTAAAATGTGACGTGGTTGTAGCTGATAATAGTTTACAATCCACAGTCTGAGATTTTTATTTTATTTTTTTTACTTTATTTTGCCGTATCACATGAGGTTGTGCATAATGTTATTTTTAAGGCTTGACTAAAATGGTTGCGACTCTGTCGTTTCTCGGGACAAGATGAAAGCTCTGATATTAAAGGTACTTCTCATTTCTTCAAGGAATACTATAATTTTTTGATTGTGGTCAGATGGGAGCACAAACTGGTGAAAAAAAATCTTGTTTCATTCAGATATGCTGTATAAACAGTTCTTTACATGCACATTTTCATTAAAATGCTCTGCTTTCGTCAACCATTGAAAACACACCTCTGATATACATGAACCCCCACTCCAATCTTTATGGAAATCTCAGACCTCCAGCAGTGTGATTGTGTGTGTGTTGCAGCTCAGACAAATAAGATGCTTGCACAATGTAAGATGAGCACGTTCAGGCTTGAAGACAGTTTGTGTACAACAAGCCCACTGCACAAAAGAAAGATTAGAACAAGGACATGGTAGAATAACTTGTGGTCATGAAATATAAATGTTAAAGCCTAAATGAGCCACAAAGAAAAGTAAATCTGAAAAGTCAAAGGGTGTAGGAGAAATATGATTTTTATGAAATGCCAAAATGTTTCAAACAAAGTAAGGACAGTTATGTAATGAAAAGAAAGCAGCTATTTTCATTCAACCATGCTGCTTACCGTATTTTTCGGACTATAAGGCGCGCTTAAAAAATATATCAAGCTAATGTCATTACACACAGACTGATATATGTCAAATGTTTATTTCTTTTAATGTTGGTGATTATAACTGGCCTTGAATTTTCTCAAAAATCGACAGAGAGCCTTATAATCCAGAGCACCTTATGTATTAATTCTGGTTGTGCTTACAGACCTCGAACCAATTTTATACACAGCGCTCAAAAATCTGTCAAAATGAACTTGTTTCGCTTAATGCACCTTATAATCCGGTGCACCTTATGTATGAAAACAGACCCTGTCATTGATATTATGCCTTATAATCTGGTGCACCTTATAGTTCAAAACAATATGGTGCTTAGTTAGTAAGACGTATTTTACCCTGGCTTTAACACATTGTTGCTGTTTGGCTTCAAACCATAGGCTCATTAGACAAGTCTGGATGAAACATTAAAACCTGTTATTGAAACCCAAACATGCAACACGAGCCAAAAACTTTATGCAAGTTAAAAAATTATATATATATATTTTTGTTTGTTTTATTTTATTTCTTTAAACTACAGACTGAAGGCTGGATTTTAAATGAATTTTGCTCTTTAGGATTTGGCCTGTTTGTTGTGAAACTGCAAGTTTCTCTGTACTGTAGATTTCACAGACATTCAATTTACATAGAAGCAAAGTTTAAAGTTTAAAAGAATTGGCTTGACTCAGGTATTTAGTGTGAGAATGTGTGATCAGCAGAGGACGTCATGTGGTCTGATTGTATTCAGTGGAAGAAGTTCTTTACTCCCCTTGAAATCTGAGAACAATGACACAGCACTGGAGATAAAGCTTTTGATTAAAGTGTTTTGTTGTCACCCTTCTGTTAAAACCAAAACTCTTATTGTTCCAGCACAATGTTTGGAGTAGATTCAAGTCAATTCAAAAATACTTTGTTAATCCCAAAGGGAAATTAATTGTTGTCGTAGCTCATCATCCTGGTTTCATTAGAGTTGTTCTAGATGCTGATGGCTGTGGGCAGGAAGGATCTCTTGTAGCAGTCCGTCCCACAGAGGATCCGAAGAAACTGGCTGCAGATGACAATCCGTGCACCCAGACCCAGCAGACCTTTCAGTCCTCTTGGGCAGCAGGATCGCCTGAATGCTGGGCAGATCTCCTCCCCGAGCGATGGCCATTCCTCCCAGCAGCCTGATGAGCCCGTCATCACCGTTGATGAAACTGCAGGTGCCAGGGGATGATCTCTGTCTTCCCACTGTCACGAGCCATGTTTCCCACCACCTCCAAAATCTCAGCAGTCAGGCACTCAAGCACTGTCTTCCGGTAGATGAGAATGCATCCACAGCACCTCCTTTTCAACTCATTGGAATTTGGGGCTGTAACTTTGAGCTTTTGAGATGTTAATCAGCAGCTCCCAGTTGTAGAAAAACACCTTGTTGTTATTGTTACGCATCATAACAAATGTCCAAAAGTATAAAATGGTTTCAGTAAAAATTCTTCCAGCTGCACAGCATCCAAAACCAGAGAAAATACTCATCTGAAAAAAGTGATTTGCATGCAGAAAACAGAGTAATTAAAGATTTCTAAAGCAAAATCTCAGAATGAATGTATGAGAGCTACTTCAACATGCAGCCACCTTGAGTGGCACAATTCTAGAACTAGTGCAATTCTACAACTAGTACCTCTAGAACTATTCTAGATGTGCCACAAATAGAAAGAAACCGTGTCCAGTTTATAACCAGTTCTTCACACATCATGGATATTGGGAAATGTTCTCAGCCTCAGGTTAATGTAATATATGAGCCTTTGTCCTAGTAAAATGTGCTCCAGTGTGAAAAACAGAAATGAAAACAAACTATTTTTGACTGAATTGTGCTGAGAGAATGAGCCACCCTTTGCACACAAGTAACAAAGAGGTCATAGGCTAGATTAAATGTTTTCAAATGTGCCTTTCTCGTCTAGGCCCTGAAAACAACCAGATAGAAGGCAGACGAGGAAGTGAAAGACAGAGAATCGAGGGAACTATGAGGTAATACAGTGACAAATCTGACCCAGTCATGCAAACTGTGGTTGCTTCTGCTTTTGTTTTCTTCACAGCAGAGGATGTCTGATGTCAGATGTCTGAGGGGGAAGCTGGACTGAACAAACGTAACCCCAGGAATGAGGCTTGTGGTTAAGATGATCTCACTTCTTGAACAAACCTGTTGAGTTACCACCGTGTAAATAATTAAAAACCTGTCATCATAATATATTTTAATGATTTTAAAAGTCCATATTTCGAGTTCAAATTGAAGAGCTGCCTGACCTGATGTGTTTTCTCCATCTGTCTGCTGTTTGTTTTTTGGTTCTTTTGCTCAGGAAAGTTAAACATGTCCTAAAGTAACATCTTATAAATCATCTGGTTCTGAGTCAGAGTGGTTTCAACTGTTGGATATGAACTGCTGACTTTGTACCAGCAGTGAACACAGTGAACATCTGCATGTTAACATTTCAACATCAGAGGTAACAAAGAGTCAAACAAGTCAAACATAACGTGTGAACCATATTTAAAGATGCATTTATCTCGTCACAGAACCAAGCTACTTGTTTTCAGACCGTAACTAGCAATTAAGCTAACCACCTGCAGCTCCGTGTTTACTACCATTTAAAAGTTGGATCAGTTTTAAATGGCCAGAGTAATAAGAGAGCTGATCTTTCTGCTGGGACTTTCCATTCTTGGATGTAATCTGGCTGACTCAAAAGGAGATGAAGAGTGGAAATGTTCTGGTTTAACTGAGACCTGAGATGACATGAGACAGGAACATCCAACAGCTTTATTTGATATATCCATCCTTTAGAGGATATACATAGGTCTCAAGCTAGGATTCAATCTAGCAAACTTCTCACTGAGAGGCAACAGGTCTACCAATTGCAACACTATTCTGCATTTATTATAATGTTATTTATTTATTTATTAATCTCAACTTAAAAGACGCATCTCAATGAGATCATAGATCTCTTTTGCAAAGGAAGTCTGTGCATGCTGGCAGCACATCATGGATGTTTTAGGACTGTAAGAGGAAACGAGTACCTGGAGAAAACCTACAAACATGAGGAGAACATACAAACTCCACACAGAGAGACCCTAGGTGCAAACGGGGGATCAAACCCAGGACCTTCTTGCTGTGAGGCAACAGTGTTAACCATTAAACCACCATGTTGCCAAAAAAAATTAACAATAACAACAAACGAACTTCAAGTTCAAGTCAATTTTATTGCATGAGATGGAACGAAATTCCTTTCAATAATTACTGTATAAGTAAAATATAAAAGAGTAAACATTTTAAAGTTTGTTAGTTTTCACATTTGTAGAAAATTGCTTTTTGTTTTCATATGTAATGCAAACTGCTTGCCTCATTGTATTATTCAACTAAATTGCTCAAGGGGCCACAGTTACTGAAAGCCAAGAGCTCAGGGGCCGGAGATCCAGCCGTTATTGTCATTAAATAAGTTTGTTTTATAGTTTAAAATCTAGTTGTATTTAAAAACGAACACATTGGTGGGCCGAACTGAGTTCATCCGTGGGCCTGATTTGGCCCCTAGGCCACCAGTTGAATAGTCCGGGTTTATAATTTTTTTTTTTTTCTTTGTCCAACTTCAAAAAGCCTACTTTATTCAATTATTTTCTTTTACAAAACTTTGTAACTCGTAGTCATTCGTTTATAATAGTTTTCTTGTACAAGAGCAAGAAAACTGAGTAAAAGTGTGACAAAAGCAAAAAGGCCAAATGAGAATTTGTTCAAATAATGATGCAAAGAGTGTTTCCATGTATGCAAGTGAACTTACAAAAACTTCACGAAAACAATGGAGAGCAGAGCCGCAGTGTGCGTGTGCATGATGCTCTGTATGTGGAGGGTTAATTGTGCAGATCCCAGAACAGCTGGGGGGGGGGGAGAACAGAGGAATGTTGTTTGCCACTGGGTAAGGCAGGGTGGGAGTAATCTCTCTGCAGGTTCAGAGGCACAAAAAAACAAAATGAATAATTAAAAAAAAAAAAAGTACAAGCAGGATGTTTATGAACTTTCAGACCTGTAAGAACAAACCCCAACATGTCCTGTCCCCATATCCACCACGCAGTCTTAGGGGGGAGTGGAAGGAGGAGCTTTTTTGTAAGTTGATGCCGAACTAACAGGAAAAGTGGTGTCACCCACAATCACGCCACTTTCTGTGCCGTGATTGGACGTTCTTAGAATCACCTTCTTGCTCAAATTTGCACATAACGCACATGAAGTATGAACGAGTCAACCATGAAAACGTCTGTTTTAGTCCTACACGATTTGCTCCTTCATTATGTGACAACATTTGTTCATTTGGATGTTGGTCAAATTACAGTTATGTTCACACAACTATTTATAGTTGTACAAGAAAACATTTTTGACAATAGTATGAGACTAACTTCATCACGTGTCATATCACTAACAGCTAGTTTTACTATGCTAAATGCTATGTAGCTGATCTTATAATTTATAATTTCACTTCAACAACAACAGCCACAAAATCTCCTTCAGCTTTTGTGGTTAAAGTTAAACTTGTTATTTTTATGTAATTTAAAATGAACAGCTTCATTTTTATTGAACAAAATACACCAAAACTTTGTCACCAACTGTTTTATTTGAACTGTTTGTGCTATATATGTTTTGGAGAGTTACAATTTTGTGGCCAAACATATAAGCATCCAAGATTATCATCCATCCATTTCGTTTTAATCTCTGGGTCGCGGGAGAGCTGGTGCTGATCTCAAGCAGCCAGGCGAGATTAATAAAGATAAACAAAACAACCATGTATGCTCTCGTCTACACCTAGGGATGGTTTGGAGTTGTCAATCAGCCCAACGTGCATGTTTTGGTTTGTGGGAGAAAACTGGAGTGACGCACACGTCAACAGGATGAACATGCACTGCACATAGAAAGGTCCTAGGTGGGGGGTGAACCTGTAACCTTCTTGCTGTGAGGCAACAGCTCTATGGCACTGTGCCACCCATCTCAGTAGTAAATGTCTATTTCATTTCATTTTATTAAAGAAGGATCCACCTGTCTATTTCTGGGTTATTTCTGGGTATTCTGAGTTTTATTGCTGGCATCTAATCTTGAAAACTTGATTTTAATTTTGATTATAAAAACGTATGCCAGTATTTTGTATCATTTGTTTTGTTGAATTAAACTTACAACCACAATGCAAAAATGTTGAAATGCTGTGTATATCCATCCATCCATCCATTATCTTTCGCTTGTTCCAAAGTTGGGTCGCAAAATGCTGTGTATAATATAAACAAAATTTAATGTAATGATTTGCAAAACTGGGCAGCATGGTGGAACAGTTGGGAGAGCTGCTGCCTCTCAGTGAGAAGGTCAATGGATCGAATCACAGCCGGAGGGGCCTTTCTGGGTGGAGTTTGTATGTTCTCTCCGTGCATGCGTGGGTTTTCTCGGTACTCTGGTTTTCTCCCACAGACCAAAAACATGCATGTTAGACAAACTGATAACTCTAAATTGTCTCTAGGTGTGAGTGAGAGAGTGAATGTTCATTTGTCTCTATATGTCTCTGTGACTAGAGACCTGTCCATGGTGTACCCCACCTCTCCCACAGTGACTGCTGGATATGAGTACCGCCCAGTGACCCTGTAACCCGAGGGGAAAGACATGGGTAAAAGATAATGGATGGGTGGATGGATGGATTTGCAAAACTCATGAAATCATATTTCATAAGGTAGCAACATATCTCAAAAACACTGAATTTTAAAAAATGGTTTTGAAAATGGCCTGAATTGGTGTGAAATTGTGGCTGCGGTCAATGGTTTTTCTGCACTTGTGCAAGTAGATGAACAACAGTAATCATGGTGTTTCTCACTGTTTTAGGAGCAACCCAAACTCATCTTTGGTCCAAATGAGCATTTGTATACTCACCATGTGGATGTAACCGTTGTCATGCTCAAGACTAAAGTATCTTTGCACCTACACGTGTCATTGAAATATAAAAATCACAACGCCAACCATTGACCTGGGATGGAACAGATTCAACAAGCACAGCAATAAGTTTGTTTATTATGGTACTCGAGAATAAAATTTGAGTTTACAAAATTTCCATATCATTGTATTCTGTCTACACTTTACACAATGACCCAACTTTTTGTAATTTAGGTTACAGTATATTATATCGTTTCATGGACTTTTTACTTGTTCATAAATGCTGAAGAGTCAACAAGCATCTGGTGTACAGTTGCAACAGCTAATGTATAATGTAT